GCGGCTGCTTCCGTCGCGAAACGATCGAGCGCGCTAGCGCGCCGGTGTGCATCCAGGGCCCATGGAACGCACGGAGCACTCGCTAACTCGCCCACAAAGTCTTGCGCGCACGAGGGGCCCTGAGTTTCATCGACGTCGCGCGCGCGGGTCCTCGCCCTGGCCTGCGCACGCGCGTGGGAATGTGCGACGCCAGCGGGCGCGTAGTCGATTCTAGCGCACAGAGCGTCGACGTCGCGCAACGGCGTGCGAGTCGGCATGGAACTCGAGCGACTCAGAGCAAGAAACACAATCGATCCTGAGTCGAGCCCCATTTGGGGCGATCGAAGCGCGGGCCCCGCCTGCCCGGGGCTCGGCGAGCGCGGCTCTCGCAGACTTGTCTCTAAAAGAAAAAAATGGCACGCGCCGCCGCTGCCGCCCCGCCGCCGCGCGCGCCCGCGCGAGCCGACTGCCGGGCGCAACGGCGCGCCTGGGCGCGCGCTAGCATCGATACAAACGAAGCCAATCCGCCATCTCTGGTACAATTTGGCGGCGCCGCTCCACCGCGCCACCCCGACGTCCTCGGGGCCGTCCGAGCGCGGCCCGCGGCCGACTTGGATGGCGAGGGGGATATGAGGACCACTTACGCCGACGCGCAAACGACGGGGGTCGGAACGCAGGGCCCGCGCCAAAAGGGGCCGGAAGCGATAGTGTTCACCGCCCTTGGCGGCGCAAGGAATGGGCAGGGACATCAAAAGTTCGCGGCCAAAGTTTTTGTCGCGAGGGTCATGCACCGTGGGCCTCGCTGCCTGCCTTTGGCAGTGCGCGACTCCTGAACCCGCGCCGGGAAGCGCCCATTGCTGCGGCACTGCGCCCCGAGCTGGGCGTCGCCAGCAAAGACCTTGCGCCCGGCCTCGCCAGCGCCATCTCGCGGCGCGAGAGCATCGAAGGTAGCCGCCTCGAAACTAACGCTGGCTCCAGCACCGATCTTGCGAGCGGCCGACTGGCCGGGGCTTCGCGGCTCCCCGCCCGGGCCCGAGTGCCCCGATCCGCCCAGGTGGCCACTAACAAGGTTTGGATCACCACGACGCCCGCGGAGGGGAGCGTCGGGACGAGCGGCGCAGACCGCAAATGGCCGACGCTGGCGGCCGGCGCATCGAGCGCAGACGCCCGCGCACAAGCGGGGCGATGGCGAAAGAGAAATCAAGCCTCCGTTATCTGCAATCGGGCACTGGGGCATCTGCCGCGAAGTGGCCCCTCGCAGCCAGGCCCAAGCCACGGCGCGACGAGGCTCGAGGCCACTGAGAAAGTTGATCCATGGCACGACGCTGCCCGCTGCAGTCACTGCACAATGCATCGGCGCATTCACTCCGCGCCCCCCCCCCCCGCCCGCGCGCGCCCCTTGACGCGCTGGATGGCGACGGGGCGCGCGCGCGCTCTGCCGCGGCGAGGAGGTGCTGCGACGCGCGCGCGAGCCCCGTCTCGATCGACCAAGGGGCAGCTGCCCCCTGAGCCAGCTCGACGGCAGCCATGTTATCGACGAACTGCTCAAGTTCATTACGAGCGAACTGTCGGTCTGACTCTGCGCGCGCAACAAATGCGCACGCGCCCACGCGACCAATCAACCCGACATGCGCACTCGACGCGCGCGCGCAGTCGAAACCGACCATGTCCGCACCGCGCATGTAACCCTCAACGAAGCCGCGCTGGCACCCACGCGCGCCCCCGGCACCGCCACGCATGCCCACGGCGACGGGCGCCCAACTAGACATGTCGATATCGTTAGGACACCGCGATCCACCCGCGCAGACCCCCGCATGCCGAGACAACTGTAGACGCAGAAGCGCCACGATAACAATAAACCGCGCAGATGGACGGGGCCGCGCCCCCCGGCAGCCGGAGCAGAGGACAAGCTCGGAGCCGCGCGCGCCGCGCGCCCGGGGCGGGCGTCGCGCATCCAAGATCACTCGACACTCACTTCTTCGCCCGGGGGAGTCGGCCAGAGAGATCATCGAATCCGGAAACGAGTAAGTGGAGAGCCAGGGAACGAAGCGCCGCCCCAAGCAGCGCGCGTGTAGGATGGGCACCCCCGCGGCCCCTGGCGCCCGCGTGGCTCTCGCATCCCGGGGCGCCCCCATCCCTGGATGCTTCGTTAAGCGACCGCAGCGCTCTGGGAACGCTGGGCGAAACGGCTGCGGCGCACTGACGCGCCCGGCGAACGACGTGTCGGAGCTCGCGGCGCGCGGCAAGCTGACTTCCCGCGACGCCGCAGAGACTGCCGACTGCCCCGCGGATGTTTGCGCGCCGCCGTCGCCGACGAGGGAAGCTGCTACGGCCATGGGCCGCAGCAAACGCGCCGCGGGCCCAGCGTCCGCGCACAGGGTTGGAGGAGGGGGCGGGGGCGGAGAACCGCCGGCAAGCCCTGCCCCATCTGCCGCTCCAGCCGCGAAACTCAAACAAAAACAATCAGCGCGGAGCTGGGGGGGGGCGCGCTCCCCCCTCTGGCGGGGTCGGCGCAGCGGGCGCGGGCCGCGCTAAACCAGCGCGCGCCGGCGCGACCGCGCGCCAGCAATGTCTGGCGGGACTTCGAAACTGAAGCGGAGGAGGCATCTCCCGCGGTTTCGCACGCCAGCTCGCTAGCTAGGAGGCGGGGGCAGGCATTGCAACGCAGCGCTGGAGAGGCCAGGGCTTGGTCGCTAGCCTGAGACCACGCAGGGCCTGGGGCCCCGTGGGCCTTCTGCGACGCTGACGGGGCCCGCTAAACATAAACCCTGATAAACCATGCTGGGCAGGGTCAAGGCGCACCATGTCGGCGCTGCCAAAAGTCACGCGCTGGCGCGACGCACTCAACTCATTTCTTGAAAAGTGACGGGGGTCTCCAGGACCCCAAGCCCGTCGCCCGAAAACTCCTCGTTGTCCTGGCGTTGCTGCTTGAGCGGCGGCGTCTGGTGAGTCTTCGACGGCTTACGGGGCTTCCTGAGGATCCACTCGTCCTTGATGCTGCGCATGTGCTGATCTGTCTCGGACACGAAGACAAGGGGCTTTACCTGCTCGACCTCCAGAGTCGCAGCTTCGGTCCAAGGCGCCGGCTCCACGTGGGCGACGTGCTCGACCTCCTGCGGCACGATGGCCCAGTCAGGTGACGCTGCCGCCGCCCCCATGTAGGCGACCTTCTTGACATCCTGTGACGAGCTGGCCTGAATGGAAGCCCTACCGCCGACCCGCCTGGCTGCATGTCTCCGCTCGACTCGGCCTCCGCCCACCTCTGAGACATTCCCCGCACCTTCGTGGGACCTGGCGTCGAGCTGCTTGTTCCTGCGACGAAGAAGCGCGCAGTGGTGGCACTGCCCTCGCGGGCCCCTCGCGAAACCCCGCATCTGCCTGAGATGCCCCGGCTGGCGGAGGCGCGGGAGTGGCTGCAGTGATTGGCGACGTCTGCAAGGGCGCAGCCTGCTGAGGCTGCGACACACGACCTGGCGAGGCTGGCGGTGTCGGATGCTGGAGCCATGCCGTACTGCCGCCAGTCTCTGGGCCCCCCTGCCCAATTGCTTGCCTCATGTAGTTCCCCATGCGAGTCTCACGGTGTCCTCTAGCAGGTGGCCCCTCGCATGCTGAGGCTGGGGCTGGGAGGGCGGCGCGGCAGCTGGCGGCGGCATCGGCGGCGAAACAAAGGAAGGCAACGATGACGAGTACTTAGGCCCAGGCTGCTGCGGAACATGGCCACCTGGAAAGGGCGGAATGCACAGAGCGGGCCCCTTCGCGCTTTTGCCTCCACCTTGCGCTGGCATGGCCGCGCGCATGAGCACGGGAGGCGGTGGTGGCGGAGGTGGCGCACCCGACCCACGCACGGCCATGTCAACGTCCTGGCTCCTCTTGTTCCCGAGGTTCCTCTCGAAATCATCGATGATGGTGCTGACTACCTCCATCTCGTCCTGGGTGTCTACCTCCTGCGTGTGCAACTCTGTTTTTCTAGCCCAGCTACCTGTTCAGCTTGCCTTCGGGCGTATACCACCTGTTCCTCGCATCCTCGAGTTGCTGCTGCACGGGCTTGAGCTTTGTGAAGCACAATTTACCAGCCTCGAACGTATCTCTATCCCTATGATTGACACGCCAAAAAGCGATGACAATCTTAGGGATGCGCCCTCAAAACATAAGGGAATCCTTAAGATTGGCATCGTGATGAGGAGATGCCCAGCATAGGGATAGGGATATGTTCCAGGCTGGTAAACAATATGATGACTGCAACCTTGTACTTCGTGGGCGCTGGATCTTCCCCTGCACAAGCAGCTGCGTCAACGGCCATGGCGGGACTGCCGATGCGCTGGCTCACTTCTTTGCGGAAGGCGGCCTGCGGGGCGCTGTCGTCGGGCGGAGGTACTTCGCGCCATTCCTCGTGTCCCTCGGCTTCCTCGCTGACAGTGGCAGGGAGCTTGGCGAGCACACGCTGGATGACGGCACGATTCGTTTTGGCGAAGCTCCTCTCCGGGGTCCACTGGCTGCTGTATCCCTTGTCCCTGACGTCGTTGCGGTGACGGCGGTTTCTTGGACCGCGGTGCCATGCTTGATGTCTTCCCCTGATGTGGAGGAATGATGCTGAGAGACTTTGCCACCGCCTGCGTCGCCCCATAACTGCAGTGCGGACCACAACGACAGTACTCGTATCGAAGAGGGACGCGACGGCAACATGGACATGCCCGATAGCTGTTGCCTCGCTGCCACTGTGCTGTCATGGCGGCGTCGATAGCTGCTTGAGTGTGACTGACTGTACGTGGAAAGTCGTGTTGCGAACGAAAAGGATAGCAGCGGCCGGGCAGAGTCACAGCTGGCGCGAGACACGAATGCTCTTGGGCCAAAATTGCTTGAGCCAAAATGGCTACCTGTTCCCCCTCCTCTTTCTCCCTCCCCCTTCCGCCGCAACTTTGTCTCCGCATCCGCCTCCGCCTCTGCCAACGCCTCCACCGCCTCCGCGTCCTCTTGTACGCCTCCTCATGCCCATACCTCTGGCTCGTCCGCTCCCCGCCCACCTGTAAAGGCTTCCACCGCCAGCTGGAGCCACTTTCACGCTCCACCCTTTGGCGGGACCGCTCGTCAGTTCGACCTGGTCAGAGGCGTTTTTTTTCCGAGGAGAGCGGAAGGTAGACATCAAGCAACAAAGAAGAAGAACAAACACCCGCAGAACCACCCCCGATCCAGGGAACGGAACCGTGGCCGAGATGACCACATGAGCTGACAGCTCTAAATGGTGGTTCACCGTTTCTGTTTTCGGCCCAAGAGGATACGAAGTTGGTCCAGGACCGCCCCAACACCATACTGACAGCGCCTCGGATTCTCTCAAACTGAATGCAGAGCGTGCCCTAAGAGGATCTCCTGACAACCTACGACGGCCCCAACAGCGGCCCGATCCAGGACACATCAATCCACCACCGTGCTGCCGACAACGAGCGGAGAGCCGTCAGGTCCTTGAAAACCCACATGACCGAAACATTAACACACTCTGGCAGCCTCCAGGAGCACGAGGAGGAGGAGCTGGAGGAGGAACAAGAGGAACATGATCACACCTTCGAGGGTCTTTGTGCGCTCCAGTGCGCTCTCGCGCGCTGCCAAGGCAATTCTGCGCGGCCGCTCCCGAGAGGCCCCGCCCAGAACGGCTCCAAGGCGGCTCCCGAGTGCGCTTTCATGACGGCGCCCAAGCCCACAGGGGAGACCACACACCCGCCCCAGGTGGGTGCCCGAACGGGGAGATTCGAAGGGGCCTCAGGGGCCCTCCCTCCCAAGCTGGGCAACGAGACCGCCAGCAGGCTCCCAGCGACGCCCTCAGGGCCGTCGAGGGCTCCTGGAGTGTCCCCAGGAGGCCTTAGGAGGCCCGAAGAAGTCTTCAAGATGCCTCCAAGAAGCCATAAGAAACCCACCAACGCACTCACTCCGAGAGGCCTTGTGGAGGCCCCTGGTCGCCGAATCAGGAATAAAGGGGCCCTGGGACACAGACATAAATACACACAGTTGACCAGATTCCCAATATCTTCCAGTATGTTCTGAATTTTCGTCGCCCCCCCAACGCCCACACTGTCCCGTATTTTCCTGGGGGTCGACGATTAATTGTGTCAGTGTTTGTGTTTTCCCCTCCTGAGGTATGGCCTGACAGTATCCAAGTGCCCCAACACACCCCAGGACTGCGCCAAGGCCGCACCCAGGAAAGGCTCGGACACGCCAAAGTCGTGCAGCAACTGTCGATGTCATATTGTTGGCGTGACGTTGCGTTTCTAGCCAACTGTACGCCAGTGCGACAGAAGTCCCAAGAGGCTCCGGGGCAGATCCAAGTGATTATATTAAGGCGTCGGATGGGCTCAAGACGCCATGCGTCCCGAGCAACGTATGGACAAACAAGAGGCCTGACCTCGATCAGCTCGAACACACGCACTCCTCAGATGCACTCATATTCAGCTGCCCTGGTCAGCTCGAAAGGCCCAAAGCATCCAAGAGGAAGACGAATGGCAGTCCCTGAACGCGCCCGAACTGGGCGCTGTGGAGAAACGGGCCACAAACTGTCACGCATACGCATCCTGATTCACACCTCACGGCGCAACCAAATATGACAATAAAAACGGATGCTCAGGAAACGTGTTTCGCCAACGGCTATAACCCTACGTGCTCTTTTTGTGCCCCGATCCAACGAAGGGCCTCAGCAACTCGCAAAAGAAGTCTGCAGTCGACTAGACACGGCACGCCGCTCGGCCACTGGGACGAGGTGGCCACTCTCGTCTCCCTCCTCGCCCGGCCCCGCCCCTCTCCCTCCTCCCCCCTCCTCCGAGCTGTAGCCCAGGCCCGCCTGACCCTATCATATTACTCGCAGCGCGGGCCGCGGAACGCTGATACAAGCGGCGGGAAACAACAATGGAACTACTGGGGAAGCCACGGGGATGGTGCCACACTGGGTCGGACGGAGCACACAACCTGAAAGAGCGGAGGCGCCCCTTTTCTCCACTCAGCTCCTACGACAGAAACAGAAAAGGGGAGAGATGGACGACAAAGAGGCGGGCGAGGAGGATTGCGTGGAGGACGAAGGGACAGCGAGGAGGACCAGGAGCACGTTGAGGACGACTACGTTCACAAGGACGACGATGGTGGAGATAAAAACAAGGAGGGCGACAATATCGACGAGGTGTAGGGTAGGACGACGGCACAATGGAAAACGACGGCAGCGCGGATGAGGGAGGGGGAGCGGGGAGGACGAGGCTCTCGAAGCGGCGAGAAGGCGGGGGACGATAAGGACGACTGCAAAGACGACGAGAACGACAAAACTTGTTTTCCCTATAAAACCTCCATAACGAAAACCGCCAAGTGTCCACTGAAAGAAAACGGACCCCGACATGATAAAACAAACCGGAAAACATTAGCACAATGCGTGGAATAGGCCGCAGACCGCGCGGGCAACACGGTTGCCAAAAACCGCCCGGGAGGGGGATGAGGAGGGGGAAGAGGAGGATTTAGAATCCCACCGGCCCTTTGGGCGTGAGTGGTTTAGAGAGCTCTCTCTTTCCTCAACCCCCCTTCTTCCCCTTCGGGGGGGGGTTTACCCCTCCCCCTACCCCCTCCCCCTGGACCTGGAGAGGGCGGGCCGAGCGTAGTCAGGGGGGTCTTTTTCGACTCCTGGGAGGGCCAAAAAACGACGACCCTCTCGAGGATTCTGGCCCCGACGGGGGGAGGGAGTTTGGCCCCTCTGCTCGTCTTTGAAGCAAAAATCATTAATGTTACTAGGGTTTTGGCCCCATTTTGGCGCTATGAGGGGCCAGCGCTCATCTTCCTTCCTAGCAAAATCATTGATTTTACGAAGGTTTTGGGCTCAATTTGTTCTTCTCAGGGGGCAGCGCTCATTTGCGCTTCTGAGGAGGTCGCAAGAGGCCCCAAGATGGCCCCAAGAAGCCCCCAGGAGGCTCCCAAGAGGCCACCAAGAGTCCCCCAAAGGCCCCCAGATGTCCCCCCAGAGGCCCTGCCAAGAGGCCTCCAAATGCCCCCCAAAGGCCCCAAGAGGCCCCAAGAGGCCCCAAAAGCCCAAAGAGGCCCCAATAGAGGCCCCAGAGGCTCCAAGAGGACCCCAAGAGCCCCCAATCACACCACGATGAGCCGAACGACTCACAATGCCAGGACGAGGTGCCGAACGACTCCACCACGAATCGCCCAAACACTCACAAAAAACATAAGGTGTGGTGACCGCACAATTCGGTGGCCCCGAACGACCACAAACCAGGACGAGGCTCCCGAACTACTCACACCACGAGGAGCCCGAACGACTCACACCACGACGCGGGCCCCGAACGACTCACACCACGAGGAGCCCGAACGAGTCACACCAGGAGGAGGGGCCCGAACGACTCACACCAGGATGAGGGGCCCGAACAACTCACACCACGAGAAGCCCGAACGACTCACACCAGGACGAAGAGCCCGAACGACTCACACCACGAAGAGCCCGAACGACTCACACCAGGAAAAAGGGCCCGAACGACTCACACCAGGACGAGAAACCCCAAACGACTCAAATCACGAGGAGCGTTTTCTCTCCCTCCTCCTCCGCCTCGTCCTTCTCCCGCTCCCCCCACAAGTACAAGGAGGCGGGAGGAAGGAGGAACAGGGGAGATATGCGGGGCCAAGCGGACACACGCCTGAACAACACGACTGTCGGCATGCTTCGCGAGAGTTGTTGCTGTGAGATGGGCTGGTGGGGATACGCGAAGCGTAAAGAATTGCGGGGGTGGGAAGCTGAAAGAGAAAGGAAGCAGTGCGGCGAACAAAACTGTAGATCGCGCGGCAACTTTACTCTCCATTCCGCTGAAGCCAAACGGCGGCATAGCATCCAATGTGGATCGGGATTGCGCGGGCGATCGAACAGCTCTGGCGGACAAGAGAGACAAAGGAGGAGAGGAAACATGAGTGTCCAACCACGACACATATTAGATTTAGCAGGGATACCCCAGGGTTGTCTGGCCTGGGGGCGCGCGACGCGGCGGGTGGCGAGTTCATTCCTTAGGCGGGAAATTCATTAGTTTTATTAGGGCTGGCGGTGGAGGAGCTCGCGCGCGTGGACGTGTGTGTGTGCTGTGTGTTGCGATGTGTGTTGTGTTGTGCGTTGTGCGTTGTGTATTGTGTGCTGTGTTGTGTGGTGTGTGATTTGTGTTGTGTGATGTGCGTTGTGTGTTGTGGTGTGCGTTGTGTTGTGCGCTGTGCGTTGTGTTGCGCATTGTGTGTTGTGTGTAGTTTGTGGAGTGTTGTGTGCTGTGATGTGTGTTGTGTGTTGTGTGTTGTGCGTCGTGTGTTGTGTGTTATACGTGCGTTGTGAGTTGTGCAATGCGTTGCTTTGCGCGTGTATTATCCCAATCCGCATCTGTGCACGTTGGCGACTCTGGGCCGGGGACTTGGGCAAGATGGTCTCCCTGGGGCCGCGCGAACAGGGCGAAGCGGAAATGCGACGAAGCCTTGACCAGGTAGGTTGGAGAAGGTAAAGGATGGAAGAAAACCATGGGGGGCGCGCGCTCTTTTTGGCGCGGTCACTTCCAGGTTCGCCGCGTCAGTCGTCCTCGCGGCGGGGGCCGCTCGGTCCCCGGCCGAAAGCCACCTCCTCGCAAGGCGCGCCAGGGGCACTGGCAGCCTCGGCACTGCCCGCGGGCGAGGGCTGGCACGGGTCGCCGGCGGCGGCCGCGCGGAGGGCCGCGCCGGCGCGCTGGCGCTTGACCTTCTCGCCGGCCCACCGCATATTCTTCTTCTCCTTCTTATGATTAGTATTATTATTATTCTTGCTCCTCTTTTAATTCTTAGTAGTATTGTTCTGCTTAGCATTGTATCATTCTGCATATTATTACTCCTCTTCTCACTCTTGGGCCAGTCGACGCTGGGCGCGCGCGCGGCGTCGTCATTGCCCGCGCCCTTGCCCTCGCCCGCGCACCTATCCGACGCGACCGCGGCGCGGGCCGCAAGAGCCGACGGCCCAAATGGGCCCGGCGGCAGTTGGGCAAGCGCCTCGGAGATAGCGCGACTAGTGGGGAAACTCGTGGAGGAAGGGCGCGCGCAGCGCATCACTTCAGTCCAATTACCCGAGGCCACGTT